TCATAGTTGTGAGGCCTCAACAGCTTCTTTGTACCTCCAGCCGGTATCTGCCCTCTGCTCCTTCTGTACCAAAAAAGTGTTCTTGAATTTGAGTCCAAATGCAAAGTTGTTAGGGTTGGGGAAAAATAGGACCCAAATGCAGATTGAGGAGGGGAGCAGGTTTCAAAATGAAACAAAAGGCGAGCTTTATTTACAAAAGCTGAAAAAACAAGAATCCCATTAACAGGTACGGGGCTTGAGGTAGCATCCAAACAAAAGGTGACTGTGACCAACATGAAGGGAGACATGAACGACAAATAATGAACCAACACCGGACACAGGAAGAGACAAGACTAAATACAGGGAGGGGTAATCACCAGACGAGAAACAGCCGGGCAGGGAAGGAGAAACACAAGGGCAACATGTGAACACAATCAGACAATCAGACACACCAGGGAAACTAACGACAGGGCAGTGTTAAATTTCGTCAACGAAAACTATGACGAAACATTTTCGTCAACTACCTTTTTTACATGACTAAGACGAGACGATGACGAGCTAAAAATAGATTCTTGATAACGAAAACTATGACGAAATGTATATTTAGTTTTCGTTGACGAGACGAGAAGGGACTAAGGTGTTAATGGTGGACTATCGGACATTCAAAATGCAGCATATTTTCCCCCAAGTGTCCATCTTGTCTGTCAAAATGCATCTTACGTTTCTAACTTGCCATATCATTATTTCCGCTCTCTTCACTCCAGAAGAGCGATCTCCCTGTGTCTCTCTGTGTGCGGGGGGCGGGGCCTAACAGACATGCTGCAGCGGACACAGAGATCTGCCGGGGACGGAGCGTTCGGAGAGTATAGAGACACATTTTGACTAAAATGCTAAAATTTTTCATCGACTAAAAGTTGACTAAAACGTTTTGAGTTTTCGTCGACTAAAACTAGACTAAAACTACGAAGGATAGGAATGACTAAAATGTGACTAAAACTAATAACCATTTTCGTCTAAAGACTAAGACTAAATCAAAAACAGCTGCCAAAATGAACACTGCGACAGGGAGGAAGACAAGACACAGGGAGAACAGAATAGCAAAATAACACCATGAAAAGACAGACCAAACTAAAACTGTGACATAAAACTAAGATCGTGACAAAAGCAGAGAAAGATTGAAGCACAGTTGCTCCCTGCTTCTCTCGCTCTTGTTGTGTATGAATTCAGTTCACCTAAACTTAGAATTATCATATTTTGAAATAAGATCTGAGGATTTCCTTATTACCTTGACTCGTGCTTTCTGTGTAACGCAATCTGCAGTGTGCTTTGACGCACAGCAACAGATGACAGCTAAGGCTGGGACTTCAGTGTTGCTTTATTGACTTTCATTTAATTATTTCTCAAATGTGGGAACTGCTGTTGTTTGATGATGAGTGCTACCCACTTCCTCTAGTCACAATCTTTACTATAGTAAAAGTAGAAAAATACCACAACATTAAATGACTCCATTACAATTAAATGACTTTTTGTCTTTGTTTTACAGAAGTGTTATGAGCTTAGTGTACTCAAGTATTTGAAATACTTTCTTTTTATTGTATATTTTTAATTAATGCACAAGCAGGTTGAGGTTTAACTTTATGCACTATTGGGTATTCTAGTGTTTCACAATACGACCTAATTCAAAGCTGTTAATGTTTTGTCTGTAAATTCCTTCCTGCAAAGTATTGGTAGCTAGATGTCAGATACATTGAGTAAAAAGGACAATATATCCTCTCAAATCAGACAAAATAGAATTGTATAGCATATTTGACTAAAACAGAATACACAATTGTATTCATACAAAGTACTTATACTTAATATACCTTGTTGCTTTCCATTTTTGATAATCCTAAACTGTGTATAGCTTCTGAAAACATAAATATTGAGTACTGCGTGGCCTGCTAATTCTTAGTAGGAAAGGTCAAAGGCATGTCGACTTAGGCCAGAAAATAATTGTACGTGCTACGGCCACCATGGCCTGCGTGCCCCTGATACTGTTAAAATCTCGAAGTCGCTTTAAAAGCGTCAGAACAGTGGTTTCTGAACTGCGTTATGCTGCTTTCACAACGGACGCAATGCAAATATTCTTACCCTAACCGCTGGAGTTTCACCGTGGCTGTCAGCTGTGTTTACTCCTGTCATTCAAACAGGACGCGCTGGAGAGGGGGCGGGGCTTATATCCATGTAAATACTGTGGTGGAAACCAACTACGACAAAATTAACCTATTTTACCGTGATTTAATTGTAATTCACGTTTCAAAATGATGCCGAAGTAACTAAATACTGATAACGGTTAGTAAAAACCATGCTGTCTAGTCAGGATTCAGACAGTATTGCACTTCATTTATTGTCTTGGTTGATTCTGTTGGCTTATATTTTATTTTATCAATAAGGTATTTATATAGTTTTTTCCTTTTGAAACAGATGTTCAGTTATGTTAAAGTCTTTGATTGCACTTCAAGTCTAAAGTTTACATTTTAATGGTTTGGAACTGACTTTTCCTCATTGATGTTTTGTGTTTTACTTAGTAATGTTTTACTCTCCTTTTCATGTTTATTGATGTTACATCACTGCTAGTGCTACCTAAAACAGAAAGTGCATTTTTATACTGAGAAACTGTGCCTTGAATATTTTATTTTATTTAGCAAGAGAGTGCACTTTACTTGGTGAAGAAACCAGTGTTAACGTTTGTTGTGTAGGGTGTAGGCCTACCTACTTGAACACTGAGGAAGTCATATCAAAATTCCTGTTGAATTGTTCATTCAGGGATTCATTGCAGAATTAAAACCAGCTTGAAATGTTATTTTGGTCTGTTACTCCTTTTTATTTTAGTTTTTGTTACCTTGTAGGTGGTTGTACTGTTAAGTAACTTGAAAAATAACCATAATAACCGAAATGAAAAAATATCGTGATAAATATCGATATTACTGCTTGAAAAATATCGTGATATTATATTTTTCAATATCGCCCACCCCTACTTTGGGTGGCTCCACTTGTAAATTCTATAGGACATGGCAACCATTTTTAACATACATGGAAAGTTTGAAACTGCCTACTCTTCCCTAACTGATTTATATCTCTTTTAAAAAAAAAACTGAATTAGAACAGATTTTCTCTAGTCAACCAAGATTAACATGTATCTCAACCTTGTCATGTCTTTTTTTGTTTTTTTGTGTGCTGTGCTTTCAACCATCAGTTTGTTTATTATTTTTTAAATGTTTTTGTACTATTAATCTTGTCTTATTCTATAGGGGGGGGGATAGTAAGCTTTCTTTTTGTCACTGAAACTGAAACTGTATGTGTTGTTTAAGAAAAAGGAAAATAAAGTTTCTTTAAAAGAAAAAGACTTCAAAACATGTATCCGTCTTCAGTGGATGGACTTACATGTGTCTGGAGGTCAAAGTAGGCTCTCCTCTCTTCCATACGCTCCCTGTTGAAGTTACTGTTGAACTCCGCAGCTTTTTTAGCTGCCTTCTTAATGTATTCAGGAACCTTGCTGGCCTCCACCTTCTGAGGATTCTGTGTCTGCATTTGCTAGAAATAAAACAGACAAAGACAGTAAGAGACATTTACATGAAGGATTTTTTTTAAATGCATTACTTTCTAAATAAATGTCACAGTAATGATGAGCCCTGGGTTACTTATTTTAGTTTATAAACTTACAGAGTACTCTTTAGCTATTCTCTGCCGCTCCCTCTCCTGCAGTATGACTGAATACTCAGCGTGTTTGGTGGGATACTCCTTTATCATCAGATCTATCACCTCGTCACTCCGCAGAGCGGTCAGACCTGGAAACAAACGAAAGTTACACTTTTATCTGTTGGAGAAAATTGTACAAATGATGAAGAGAAAGAGGAGGTTCCTACCCAGAGTGCACTGTGTCTCAGTGATGACGTTCTGTTCCCGCAGGTAAAGCTTCTCTTTGTGGGTCAAGTCTCTTCTCTCCATATCTACAGAGTGAAAAATAGAAACAACACAACTTGTCAATTAATAGCTTACTATCCATCAGATCAGAACATGAGTACAGAAGAGTCATTAAAGCATTAGGCAGACTAAATAAATAAATATGCATAGCTACTAGTGAAGGCAGTGTACTCCTTCTTGATGCCTTTTACTTCTATCGTCATTCCATTATTACATTTATATTACTTTGAAATAAAAAATAGCAAATCAATAAGTTTAAAATATAGAATCAATATTATTATTTTTAAAGACAAGAGTATCATGTTATCCTCAAACACTTAAACAGATGCAGAACTGTTTCAGATGTCTGCTTCAGTCTTACCAGGGTACTTCCTCTTGAAGGATGTGACTCCCAGATACTCGCTGACCTGCTCCTGCAGCATGTAATACTCTCCTGCGTCATCTGATGGCCACTTGTACTCTGTCAGGTTCTCTGCTGGGAAATATGTCGGCCTGAAACAGGAATACAAGGGGCAAGAAAAGTAGAGGATTGAAGCTTTATTGAATGCTTTTTGTGAGTTGATATAATATCATCATGGCAGGCCTCTGAATTGAATCAAATCAATCGTAATAGTATTGTGAAATACACTGAGATTCACGGGATAATGGTTTCCAAAGAATAAATGAATATATTATTGGGATAAAACTTGTAAATTACAATGCCACAAATGTATTTTACAAATGCCAACTAATGTTACACTGCAAAGTATCAGGCAAACCTACCCCATGTCTTGACTGGAGGTGTCGCAGCTTCGAGAGCTGTCACCTGAACCAATCCTCCTTCTCTTCGGTACCTGGCTGCCATCATTGGACTCCTCTTCAATGACATCCTCCTACAGAGCAAAATGTGGACATATTTTATTAATAATAAACTGTAATGTAATGTTGGTCAACTCCACCGAACATTCCTGCATTTACAAACTGTTTTCATCTGTGTCCATCACAGCCATGATCACAGCTGGTAAATGTGGAGCTCATTTTAATTCCGTTGTATGCTGCAGGGTAGGTTGTGAGATGTAATCCAGGTGTAACTAAAATGTTATATAAGTGTTGATTAAATGTCATAATATTAATCAAAATCTCTAACTAAACTAACTAAAAAGGTATAAAGTACACTTTTAACCTCTGAATTGTAATGGGGTAGAAGTACAAAGTAGAACAAAATGTAAACAGTCAAGTCAAGTACAAGTATCTCAAAACTGTACCTCGAGTAAATGTACTTAGTTACTTTACACCTCTGCAAGCAAAGGCACAGCTAAACGTTTTCGCTGTGAAAGCACTCATACAAACACAATTTGTCGTTTCTTATGGGGACATAAATCATGTAAACAAATGTCATTAGATACGAAACAGAGAAAACAAACCACCCCTAACATTCAGCACACAGTTGAAAACAAAGGGGTGATGCTAACGTCGCCATCAGTTTGTCATTCATGGACGCAGGTAGCCGTTAGCTGAGCAAGCAACCGTGCAGAGCCCCGTGAAGAGAAGTATAGTTGTTACTATATGCGGGAATAAACGTCACCTTTATGGATTGTGCTCCAGGGGTAGCGGGGTTGCTGTCGCAGGGCAGTCTCACTGGGAGCACAGCAGCCATATTTCCCTAAATAAAGCCTGCAGCTAGGCTAGCTCATTAGCCACTTCTTCTTCTTCTTCGTTTCCTTGTGAGGGTTTGTGGTTTGTGGCGGTGGGCAAACTCTAAGGTACATAACCGCCGCCTTCTGGCCTGGAGTGTAAAATATAAATCATTATTATTGATTATAATTATAAAAATAATAATACATTTTAGACTATACTATACTTTTAACTATTTATATAGCATCAATTAAAACATAGTTACAAAGTGCTTTCACAGAACACATTACACATAGAGCAAGTGAGCTAAACAACAGCATCTAAACATAAAACACAGAGTAAAACCGATAGAAAATAATCAATGAAAAATGAAATAAAAATCACATAAAGCATTTGTTACTTAAAGTAAAACAAAGTGAGTTTTAAAAGTTCTGTCTGCTGCCGTCTGGCAGGCGGTACCGCAGAATCCGGACTAACACCACCAGACTCAGGGACAGCTTCATCCCACAGGCAATACGACTATTAAACATTCATTTAATTTGGCTGCTACTTAGGAATTATTTATCTAATATATCATTCCAATCACTTGCACTATTTCACTATTTCACTTTTTTTTTACTATTTTTCCTTTTGTATTTACTATTTACTTGCATGATTTTGTTCTGTCTATCTGTTTTTATTGTGTTGCACTGTTGGAGGAGCCTGTGACCTAAGATTTTCATCGTCATCATAACTACACTGTAGCTTTTCACGTATGACCAATAAAAGCCTTGAACTTTGAAAAGTTCAAAAAGCTGACAGATTGTGCAGCCCTGATCTCCTCAGACACGTCTTGTTAGTGGTACTCAAATTATACACGAATGTGTTATGATAAAGATATAATTATTTGGCAATTGAATAATTATTTTAGAATATGTTTATACTTTCGAAAACTGGTTTTGAAATAAGGCTGTGTCAAAAGCATCAAAACACTATTGGTTAAACAGTGGCACCCTGCGGCGGTCTGAAGTAATCACAAAGCTCTGCCCGGCTTTTATTTTGAAGAAAAAAAACGCTTACGGGAAGTCGGAGGGGAATCAGCTGGAATCCGCGGAAATCATCCACAGGACTATTTTCCTTTACTTAGCTAGCTATCCATCTGTCAACTACTATCTCTCTTTTCCTTCGTGTTGCGGTCAAAACGCCACACTGGCGATGTCGGAGTCATACGGTAAGGATGCAGTTTTTACTAGTGGCCACTGTGTTAACATCTCACAGAGAGGGGATGAGGCAGGTGTGCCGAGAGAGCTTTTCTCATCGTAAACAGATAGCTGACAGGCTAACCGAGGGATGCTGGCCTTAAAACGTCCTGTCAGCGCAAATAATACCTCAGAGGTTACACAGTAGTTTTTACTCTGCCTGTTCGGACAAAATGATCGGGTTTGTAAGGTTGAAAATCCCAATAGAGGTTAGCGGAATGGACATGAAGCTGACACCAGGAGACAGGGCTGAGGATGAAGATCTGCCTGAGCATGATGTTTTGTCCTGCTCAAAACACATAATACAAGGGGTGTAGGTAGGAATACATGTTATAACCATGGAGCATCTAAGGGAATGATGTCATTTCATCACCATCTGATATAAGGATGATCAGGATGTTGAGGCATCCTTATTTATGAGAGCTTTTAAGTGTGTAAAGCATAGCTGATTATAATTGTGCACTTTGAAGCTGAATGCCACTGTGCTGTTTTCGGTTTCTGTGTATTCTATGGAATTTAAAAGTGTATTAGGGTTCTTTACTTCAGAGTTAGAAAATCAAATAAGGGCTTTTGCACAATATTTTTTATTTTATTATCACCCAGAATTAAATGTGGTTATAAAATAATGGTATTGAGCATAGTATTTTACAACTACAATTAACTGGTCTCTCTACAAACTATATAATAGTAACATTGTTTCTACATTGTCACAAACATATCTTTCACATGTCCTTACTGCAATTGATTAATACATAACTGTGTTTAGCTACTGTCAAATAATATTGGCACATCTCAAGATCTAGTTATGGACATCATGATCGCTGTGTCTTAAGGGACGAATGTTGTCTTGGGTTGAATGTTAACACCAATATTTCTGTGTTTTCTCGCTTCAGATTTCCTGTTTAAATTCCTGGTGATTGGGAATGCTGGAACCGGCAAGTCCTGTCTGCTGCACCAGTTCATAGAGAAGAGATGTAAGTCAGGAAGATGCAACACACTGTTCATTGTTTACTGTTAACAGACAGTTTACAGTACTGTAGTGTTGAGTAATCAACACATATAAACATGAAATGTAGGTCAGAGAAAACAAAGTGTCTCTATGTATGTGTTAGGTACACATAATGGTATTCATTGTCTTTTCCAGGGCACCAGTTATCTAAAAATAAACCTTGTTTTATTGTGTTTTCCAGTTAAGGATGAATCCAACCACACAATTGGAGTCGAGTTTGGCTCTAAGATTATTAGTGTGGTCAACAAAATGGTCAAACTGCAGATTTGGGACACTGCAGGACAAGAAAGGTTCAGGTATGGAAACACGTTCAAAGGCATATTTATTTCTCTTACCCTCTATCCCAACACATTTTGTACCCTGTGCATGTCATTCCTATTCCACTCATACTGATATTTACTTGATCACTGTTGAAAGACAGAGGTCACAGAGATAAATGTTTCAGTAAAAAAGTTGAGAGGAACAGGTGTAAACATTGACATTTATTCAACAGCGCAAGACAACGGTCTCTTATGTCTTAGTTTCACCTTTGCTTTTTTAAGCTAAAATGTTATGCTTGAAAAGGGGAGTGACATAAAAGAGGATAAGGATACAAAAAAGTGTAGGAATCACTGGGTCCCCTGAGGCCCTATCATATACCATATCATCTGACCACCTGCTGACATAGACTATTAATTAATTTGTGTTTTTGTTTGTTTGTTTATTGTTTTTGGTTTGTGTGGGTCAGGTCCGTGACCAGGAGTTACTACAGAGGAGCAGCAGGAGCTCTGCTAGTCTATGATATCACCAGGTAAAATCCTTGGACACCTTTTCAGATTGCCTTTGTGTAAAGTACCCTTTTTCTTTTTTAAATGTCTCCCTTCTTTCTCTTTAAACTGCAGTCGAGAGACGTACAACGCCCTGACCACGTGGCTGAGCGATGCCAGGATGCTGGCCAGTCAGAACATCGTCATCATCCTCTGTGGAAACAAGAAGGACCTGGATGCAGACAGAGAGGTCACGTTCCTGGAGGCTTCACGGTTCGCTCAGGAGAACGGTAGGTTCAGAACTCCGTGATCAAAGGGGCATGCTTTGACAGATCCTGTCACAAACTCTAATAATAGCCAGGGAACTTGTATCTCTGAAATTATTACAGTTTGCTTCTGTTCTGTAAAGATGATGCTGCTCAAAGTGATTGTATTGTGTGTGTGTGTGTGTGTGTCAGAGCTGATGTTCCTGGAGACCAGCGCTCTAACAGGGGAAAACGTTGAAGAGGCCTTTGTCCAGTGCGCTCGGAAAATCCTTAACAAGATAGAGTCAGGTACTGAGATCCTCACCTTTAGCCCAAACCCCAGACTCTAAATCCCCTCTTATCCCGACAGGGTCAACAAGGCGGGCTTAGGTATTATCACTCCAGACCCTGAACTGAAGCAGAGTTATAGCCCTAAACAACTTCACTTAATTACTCAAAAATAAGTATTTAAGAAAAATACCATCTTCTAGAGTTGGTGAAGATCCTTACATGAGGAACACTTTCTCACATCTCTGTCTCTTCCTGTCTCTCATTTCCAGGGGAGCTGGATCCAGAGAGGATGGGGTCAGGAATCCAGTACGGCGACGCTGCGTTACGACAGCTTCGTTCTCCTCGTCGCGCTCAGCCTCAGGGCACCCAGGAGTGTGGCTGCTAGTGGACGCGCCCAGTAACACACTCAGAAAAGGCCAGTGTGTCTGTACTGTGTGTGCATGAAATTAGGTATTTTCTTTCAGATTTATGATATTTATCCAGAGCTTATTAGCTGGTTGTGGTGACTTGACATTCAGCTCACTGCTCTCAGCGCTGGGTGTTTCTGCTGCACACAGCCACTCCTCGCCTTCTGCTCACACCTATGTGATAATGTCTCTTGTGTGTGTGATCAGTTTGTTTCAGATGGGTTTTTGAAGACCAGGAGAAGAACAGCCACAGGGGACCCAGGGTTCAGGTTGTTATGCTGGTGATTCATCTCTGACCTTTGACCTTTTGCTTTGTTGTCATGGCTGCACCTCCCAGCCACATCCCCCTCAGTGGTAACAAGAGACCGCCCCCCATCCAACATACTGCTCTACTATTGGACCAATCTTTCCCCAACTCTCCAATCAGGAAGTGAATTACTGACTATCTTTCAATCTGCCCTCACACCTGCTTACCTCCAAATCTAAGTTTAAGTTTTCTCCCTTAACACCAATCCCATCGACATTCAATCTGGAGTGCTTAAGGGGAAGTTTACATTTTGGAAAGTTTATTTTTTTTAGCATTAGAGTTTAACAAACAAGATATAACGTGATTGAGGACAGTGTGTAGGATTTAAGGGGATTAATGGAATACAAGGAATATAATATTATTTTTAGGTGAATTAACTTTCCAGTACAAACACTTAAACAGCCCCTATGTCTTAAAACTTGTAAACAAATCACTGATGGCCAAATCCAGGGTTATTTCCGTGCTGCTGTTCATACAGAAGAGTTATTTTATACCAATTCGTATAACCTTTATCATGCGCCACTGAACCACTTTTATATGAATCAGTAGGGTCCTGCCTCAAAAGATGTTATTATTTCTCATAATACATCCAGGTTTTACAGTGGCACAGATCCGACAAACCCAATCCTTGGCTCTAAGGAGGTGTTTTACTTGAAAGTGGAAACTTAAATTGTGTTGCGAGTATGCACCTGAAGGCCTCTGTTGTCTCTTTTACATACTAGTAAAAATGGGGAGGAGTAGAGGTGAACATTTCTCACCACAATATCGCACTAAATCCTACACACTGCTCCCTTTAAGGGAAGTTCCTTTCTTTGTGCATTCAAGTTAAACAAACAATAAATACCATGTGCATTGATATTTGATGCATAGACATGAGTTATGGGTTTTATCATCTAACTGTTGCCAAGAAAACCATTGTAAACTATTCCTTTAACAATGTATATATATACAGTTGCAAGAAAAAGTATGTGAACCCTTTGGAACTACCTGGATTTCTGCATAAATCCTTCCCTACCTAATTCCTNTTTATGTAAACAAGAGTTTTTTGCTGTCGATTTTGGTGAGTCCAGTGTTTGTTATTTACTCAGCCATGTAACACAAATTAAAATGCAGTGTTTAATGTTACTGTATGAGTTCCAATAGAAAATACAGTTGTAAACCTCTCTTTGTGTGTCTTTATTATGACGTAACGACTAGTCGACTAGTCGACTAGTCGACTACTATTTTGAAAAACTAGTCGACTAGTAAATATTGGTAGTTGTGAAACCCCTAGTATATATATGTGGTATATAGCACTGTGTATTTCTATATATATATATATTTAAAATCCTTCCCTACCTAATTCCTCTCCCTCCACCCAGCTGCTGATTGCCTTCCTGCTCACACTTTTAAACACTCCACTAACAGTGTACTGTTTCTGCCTGTACATTTTGCACTCCCTGTGTTCCTCCTACACACTCTCTCTCCTGTACAGTGCCCCGGGCGATGCAGCTGCTGAATGACACTTCATCCCCCTGCCTACCTTACCCACTGTTTACATCCCATCTGTCTCTCTGATACCTCCTCACACCTCTTCCCCCACCCCCCGACTGCATCTTGTACACTGTACAGTGTTTCTGTATATAGAGACTGACGCATGTTTTCTCCAACAGAATATCAGAATATTTGATTATGAAGAGATATTATATGTATATTAAAGTAGATATCATATCTAGCATCTGTTTAATGCTCCACTGTCTTATTATCATGTAAAGCTACATACTGGCAACTAGTAAGCGGTATAGCTGGGCGGTACTGTTTGGAGAATATGTTTATTTGTGAATGGGACAAGCTCCTGTGAGTTATGTTAAGTACTAACAGTTTTATTATCGTTCAAGCTCACACATAAAGAAAAAAAATTCTGATCATACATTTGGCTTTTATGGCAGATGTATGTAATTTTTACACGTCATCTTTTGAATTTACTCTGGCACACTCAGAGGTGTTACACACTCCTTTACCCAAAGGTTTGAAATAATGACTGATCTCTCTCTTTTAAAAATGATGTCTGTTTAAAGAAATACCTCTCTTACTGCTGCCAGCTGTTAGGAAATACTAACCGAATGCATTTCAAGTTTTAGCAATGGTATAAAACTGCCTGATGTGTGTTTGATTTTTATTTGTCTCCAAAGATTCTTAATGTTAAGTTCAGCCAAATTAAACTCAACAAAAGTCTTCATTTGAAGATCTAGATTTAAAAAGGTGTGTTTTGCATTGGTCTGTTCAAGCATTACAACATTTGTTGTTTTTTTCTTGTGTTTTTTTACATTTTTGCCCCTTGACAATTATGCGTTTCATTTTTTAAATCAATCACTTCAAACTGTAGAAATATTTCATGTTAGAGTTCATCTGATTGTGACTTTGGATTTTCCACGTCACGTTCCCGTCTTGTGTTTATCACATTAGGTCCTTTGTTTATTTATGGACGTCTGTTTTTCTTGTGTCATTATTAATATCATGGATTTTTTATTTATTGTGTATGATAAAAACACATGTTTTTAAAATAAAAAAATACAACAAATGAGGAATCGTCCTTGAAAAGCAGTTTTTGTTGGTTTGAACCAATTTTTTGAGAATATTCCATTCCATTATTGATATCTTACTTTAAAGGGAGTACGTTTTCTGAATAATAATGTAACATGGTAGAGATACCGAGACAACACTGAACACTCGTATGGAAAAGTGATTTATTAAAGCTTTGCACCACATAATTGTCTACCTGTAAAACAAATACAGCATATACAGAGTATTTTAAAAGCCTTAAATCTCGGAATCATTACGTTTTACACTATTTTGGAACTTTTACATACTGCCATCAGTAAATTATTAAGTAAGTATTAAGAAGATCTTTCTTATAAAGTTACCGTAACTAACTATTGGAGAGAAAATCAGTAACTAACTATCTTGTTCCAGTTCCACTTTTTGTGACAGTCAAAGTTCACCACATGTAAAAAACAACTGGTTTTAACATAGTATTGCACAAAATGTCACATCTTCACATCTTTTCTCTGAACTACCTTGCAGTTAAACCTTAAAAGACTGAACATCTACATCATTACAAAAGTAAATAAAGTAATACTGAACTCAGAGTTTCAACAACAAAACATTAAGATAAATGTGTAAATGGTTCAAATTCGAAACTATTTGTTCAAAGGAGAAAATACTTTTCTCAAGATTTTATGGCACAGATTTGTGTTGAATGGATCAGATCAATTACACAAAATGACTTTTGTACAAGTAAAAATAACGTTTTGCTCATGTTAACAAACATACAAACATATTTACACTGAATTAAAGAACAAGCAAGTTACAAGGAAACCTAAATAGGTAGCAAGGTATTCTGTACAAACATCAGAAAGGTGGCTAATCATCAAAGTGCATCAGCTAAATGTCCATTGTTGTTACCGTTCAACTTTTGGTCTTAAAGAATAATCTGTTACAGTAATAATAAAATACATTTGGTCTCAAAAATCGATTGTTATGTTTTCAAATGACCTACATTAGCTGTGTGTGTTTTTATATTACATTGCACCACATAGAAACACACTGATCAGTCCTCCAATGGCTTTAAGTGTCACACATATATTTCTTCGCTGCAACAGCACCATGTAGATTCACTACTGTACACTAACATCAATTCAACAACAAAAAAATGCACATGTTGTTGTCAACATATTGTTAGTCAACAACATCGTGATATTTAAAAAGCTCGTGAGAAAATGTGCCACATCGTAAAACTTTGAGCACATTGTGATTTACTCTTTATCTAAACCAAGTCAGGGAGGATCAATCCATGAAGTGTAACAACAAATATTAAATCTACAAGAACAACTTCACACCGCTAGGGGATCTATCTGCTAAAACTCCTGAATGGACATATTTGTGTGATTCAATAAAAATACAAAACGCCTATCCACAAATCTGCATACATTTGAGAACACTTCCAGTTATTAAGCCATCTTGCTGTGCTTAGTACACTTTTTGGAATACAAACATTGTGACTTTGTGTTTGGTTTTGTCTTTATGTTTGAGGTCTCACGTTCTCAGAAAAACATGGCTGAATCTTAGCATACATGCTGTCACACGCCTGCATTACTCCTGTCTGAGAACACTGTAGTTTGATATCCCTGTACAACAATCACATTTTATATAGCCTGTGTTTAAAGGGAGTGCACCAAAGTATGTCAAATGCATGTAAGACTTTCTAATCAAAACATCTGTACATGGTAATACCATGACTCAAACTAATATTTAAAAGTCTCTCATACCCTTTGAATGGTTCTTATCGTATAGATTAAAACTGACTATTATACAAAAAACTTGATTGTACACATCTGGGGTGATAAGCCACACAGTGAAGTTACATCCAGAATGTGATGCGCTCTACTCTACATCCATGGACGTTTAATGCAATAATGGCTTGATTTATGTATGTCTGTCTAGAACCACCCTGACGTCAGTATTTCTGCTGAGAATGTGTGTGTGTGCGTGTGTGTGTGTCTTATCGGGAGCGAGCAGAGAAGCAGCGCATGTACTCTGTGAGCCAGGGGTTGAATTCCGGTTGAACCGACTTCACGGTCTTGTCCACATTGGCAGACTGGGCTCTCCGGCGCTCGGTCCCCTGAGCCTGGACCTGACGCTCCACCTTCCGCCTGGTCTTGGCCCGCAGAGCCGACTCATGGATCTACATAAAAACATCATAATTGTCAGTTCCTGCAATATTACTTGTTTACTTGTAAGACCCCAGAAGGACAGTCAGAAACATTACCTCAGTAGTCGAAGCTGCAGGGCCAACATTGTGTGTTTTTCTGTTCGCCATGTCTGCATCCTTCTCCCCTGAAGCGTACAGAGCAAAGGGATGTCTGCTCTCCTTACTGTCGTCATTGGGCAGCTTGGTTGGTGCTGGTCTGACCCGATGGGAGCGCCATGGTTGCTTTGAGGATTTGATGGGTTTACTCTGCTGTTGTCGAGCTCCTCCAGTGACCTCTGTTTCAAACAAAAAAGAAAAAAACAAGATAAAGCAACGGAAAGATCTCTGATAATACTGAATTCAAATGTTCATATATTAAATTCCTTGGGGGAAGATCATCAGCAAGAAAATATGCAATGCAGAGATAACGTTGCTGTAAACACTTATGAATCCATCAGAGGACTTGTGCAAGGCACTGAAGAATGCACACTGACTATGGATAGTGGTTTTCTGTTTTGAGTTACCTCCGTTTTGTTCCCTGTGAGTCTGCTGCTCTCTCTCCTCCTCTGATGCTCCTGTCTCTCTGACACCTTCAGGCTGTGAGTCTGAGAGGAGAGAATAACACCAGTACAGTTGTGTAACATGCACAATCCATTTTATAGTACAGTCATTAAAACATATGCATGTTTTGGTTTCATCGAATTACATGTAATCAGATTACACGACATAACTACAGTGTAATGTACAAATGTACAAAACAAATACAAAACATTTGAATGAATTCAAACTACTATAGGCAAACTGTCAAGAATTACCTGATAATATTTTTTTCCTTTAAAATATGGCACATTTTAAGTTATAGGAATATAGAAAAAAGGTTATCAGAGTAAGTTACACCTCTCAGGGCAGGCAGTACGTCTGATGTTTACTGCTGAATCTGCAAAATGCATTTGATTTTGCATAAAAAATGTTTTGTGAGACACCTACACTAATGTATTACATTGTTAAAAAAATATGTTATTAATATGAATTTGAGTATCTGAGTCTGACCATACCCTGATCATTTAGCAGATGTTTACCTTGTTGTGCTGCAGACTCATCCTCCTCTTGAAGGGGCAGCCTGGGCACAGTCCCCGGGACTCTGCTCTGCTGCCCGGGCTGTCTGTCCACCCTTGCCCCGTCACACTCCGGAGCGTCTCCGACCTGGTTCTTCCCGGGAGGAGCAGGACTTCTTGCCCCGGAGTCTGAGTCACTGTCGGGGCCTCCGCTCCAGAACCAGGGCTTGTGAGTTTGCTCCAGCAGCCTGCGGGTCAGCCTGTATTGCAGCATCTCTTCGTAACACCTGCTGTAGCTCTCCCATTTGGGGTCTTTGAATTTCTTCATGTACTCCGAGCGCATCCTCTTGGTCACCATCTTGAACTCAAATACGACAAAGCTACACAACGAAAGGAAAAATATGAAAAGCTAGCATCGTGAAACACCCATAAAACGTTTATGAGATATGTAACACATTAAAAAACGTGTTTGAATCGTAAACAAAGCCCTTGTAAAAATTGGCTGCGTTGTTTTCATACGCAGTTAGTATCACCGCCAGACATTTAAACCATAATGCGGACACTGTATGCACCAATGGCAGAGCAGATGGAGGCTTGAACCCGCCTACTTCCTCCTCTACCCGGGCCTAATTTGCCTCTTTTAGAAGCTGGGGTGAATAAAAGTACAATTTTCATTAGATTACAAGTTATATAATGTCTTTCGCATGCTATATTGAAGTTTAACCGTTAAAATTGGCTGCATTTCGAATTTTATCGTCAGTAACTTTAACAGTTGAAACATCTTCAACGCGATGACGTAAATAGCGACTTGTCTTCTGATTGGCTGCTGCGATCTAAACAATATCCCAATTAAATGTTCATTCATAATCACTGCATGAAAACAACCCCGGCTTTACTGAGATACAAACACTAACACGTTATTTCCCAATAGCTTGAAAACGTTTTATTTTGTTTCCGGAGGTTTTAAAATATACTTGTATAAAATGACCATCATCTTTGAGTGTAGCCTTTCATATCAACACCGTAACAGCGTACAGATGATTAATGAATTGCTTGTTGTTTCTATAATAGCTGCTGAAGAGTCAAGACACATGTATGCTTGTTATTTAAAGACGTCTGTTAATCATATGTGAGTATGGAGCAAGGATAATCGCCTGTCAGCGCTAGCACATAATAGCCCAAAACGTCAAATCTCATTGACAACTCATCGACTCGCTCATCTATAACAGTGCCTGGCTTGACAGCAGAAATGCAGGGCTGTAATAGTCTAAATGTGTACAGTAAATATACTCACACTGAGGTCGGATTTCACGGAAGCAAAGCAGAACAGATGGCGTCCACTGTGCTGCTGTAATAACCCAATAACAGGCTGTCTCTAAGCTCCGCCCGCTTGAGGACGTTTTTAAAAAGCCAAACACACGCGCAACAGGTGGCCCGGGCCGGGGTGACAGGAATGAGGTCGGTGAGGGAGGTTTTCAGCGATTTGGTTTGGTGATGATTTCTATCAGATTAGAGAAGAGGTTTAAAGGGCAACATTATATTTAAACCTGCACTGATTTAATACATGTTATAGTGTTTTATTGTCTACTCTAGGGTAGGCCTACCTGTTTGTTGATGTTGGTAGCCTACCTATTGTTTATTTTTTCTATTTTTTTTTCACTTTTCAGTTTGCATATACACCAAAGCAACATTCCTTGAAAGTGCCAACCACTTGGCAGTAACCGAATTCTGATTCTGATAAAGAGCATTATTGAGTAACTTGTTCAATTTACTTTACACAAATGGCTTCTAAAATGCTGTCAAGGAAAAGCGTGAAGGGTGTCTTATAATAGGCTGGGCTGGTGTCTGAGACGCGTCCAGCACTCCATTGTGCTTAAAGTCCACACCCACCCAGATAACCTGATGAACTTCTATGCATATAAGGTAGGGCTGCACAGGGTCCAGTTTTGTCTAAAGATGGTCTGGGGGCTAGGCCTATGGTCGTGCAGGGCAGGCAGCTCAACGGGACTCTGAGCCGGGTGTCGGATGTCCCACTGATCCGCCTGTTCTAAAGTGGAGCTGCTGCTGCCAAGGCACATTCCTGGCAAGTCAAACTCCGACTGTCGGAGCTTTCAGGTATCGACTTTCACTACCTCTGTCACCCAGCAGCCCCCTGTCAGCAGTGTCTGATGAGAGACAGAGAGACACCCTGTCTCCCTCCCTCTCACCCTTCCAATTATTCAGGGGGCTGTGCCACACTGTCGACCTCTATGAACTTCCCCTGGTGGCTGATCAGCGAACTGGATCAGCTGCTGCTTTAAGGTGTAGTGGGTGTCATAAGCGTTATATTGAGTCAATAAAGCCCGGGTATAATTATTTGGGTGATTTTGGTTAACTCTCCCAATCCCCCCAATTCTTGCTGATATTTCTTTATATTGAATCTTTAAATGATTTTCATTAGTATGAAGGCATTAATTCCCCCCAAATGGTACCTTTATGATTTAAATCGTCCAGTATTTCAGCTTCTCCCACTATTTTCCAGTATTCCCTTTTTTTTGTTTCCATCAAAGTTTTTGTTTTTGAGCTTCTCCCACTATTTCCCCTCTTATAGAAAAACAAGGCCAGGGTCGAAAATACCAAATAATGGACTTTAATAAATTATTAATATGTATATACACTTACATTCACATGTGTTGGTCAACATGTTGTTCTTATTTTTTTATTAAAGGTTTCTTTGGGTAGATGCATGGTTCAGGGTTGGATTTCCCAGCCTTTCTCCGTGCAACACATACAACAAACAGCTACAAAATATGCACATTTTAAAATAATAAAACAATGCATATAATTGCCAACATGGCAGACAACAAGTCCATTGACAGCAGAGTGTTGAAGTGCCGCAGAGGTTGATCCTCCTTTGCTCCAGATATCTTGGGGTGTAAAGGATGGAGAAGCTGCGAAGGTTGAGGATTTAGAAGCACTTCCTGTGGACAATGCTGGGTCCTGCCTCGTCGTATTCCTGCTTGGAGATCCACATCTGCTGGAAGGTGGACAGGGAAGCCAGGATGGAGCCACCGATCCAGACAGAGTACTTCCTCTCGGGAGGGGCAATGATCTAGAGAAGAGGGAGGGAGAGAAAGTGCATCAGTGAAGTGCCAGTGTTTCATAGATTTCCGTCAATTTATGCGTAAAAGTATTAAGTTTAGGGATTCATTATAATGTTTTTGTTGTTATAATATTTACCTTGATCTTCATGGTGCTGGGGGCCAGGGCAGTGATTTCCTTCTGCATACGGTCAGCAATACCAGGGTACATGGTGGTACCACCGGAAAGCACATTGTTGGCGTACAGATCCTTACGGATGTCAATGTCGCACTTCATGATGCTGTTGTAGGCAGTCTCATGAATACCAGCAGACTCCATACCTAGTCAGGTGAGAGCGAGAAGTGTTAGGAGGAGGGGTGGATATAGTATGGCACAGTTTATCCAGTGATGTGCGTAATAAGAGTAAAATAAGGATTATCTAACATACCAATGAAGGAAGGCTGGAAGAGGGTCTCAGGGCAACGGAAACGCTCGTTTCCGATGGTGATGACCTGACCGTCGGGAAGCTCGTAGCTCTTCTCCAGAGAGGAGGAGGAGGCAGCGGTGGCCATCTCGTTCTCGAAGTCCAGAGCCACATAGCAAAGCTTCTCCTTGATGTCGCGCACGATCTCACGCTCAGCTGCAGGGAGACAAGTTGATGAGTTTTTTGCCAGAGTGACAAACAGCTAAGATCACAGACACCGTGTGCGTAATGGCTGAAGTGGGCAGCTGAACTACGAGAGTTACCGAAAAGTCTGAAGCTGAAAATGAACAATTCCCCTATCACAGCTACATATGATTTTCTCTGTCTATTAATACTTATTTAGAATTCAAAGTAGTGTGCCAATTTTAGCAGCACATTCGGATATACAGGCAGTATCACAATCGGTGTCCACACAATCTGAACTACACAAGTTTTTAATCTTTGTCTTTTTTGCAAAACTGTGGGTGAATCTTTTTTTAAATTGCTGATCAAGTTTCTGTCAAGTTAAGTTGTTATGTATAGCAAACGGTTCCAAAACAGTATATAAATTAAACCATGATAATCTAGATTCGACTTTCTGTCTCTTTGCCTATAAGCTTGTATGGGAATGGTTTGCTTCTTTTTATTTCTTCCTTTTTCCTTTCTTGTAGGTGTTTTGTTATTGGCTGAGTTCCTCACCGGTGGTCACGAAAGAGTAGCCGCGCTCAGTCAGGATCTTCATCAGGTAGTCGGTAAGATCGCGACCAGCCAGGTCAAGACGCATGATGGCGTGGGGCAGGGCGTAACCCTCATAGACTGGGACGTTGTGGGTGACACCATCACCAGCATCCAGCACAATACCTAAAGAGAGGCAAGCGAGTGTTTTAGTAAAGTATTGAATACTCGGGCGACAATAATCATCCAACAGTTCAGTGTTGTGTGCGTAAAAGTGTGGTTATAAATAATGTGTAAAGACGATTTACAAGCATATACAGAGGGCGTAAGGCATAAGGACAGTCCCAGAAACGCTGGCCGACTCTCTGTAATAGTTGTGCGCAAAATGGGCACAGTGTGGAATAACTCAGTTAGTTGTATGTGTTGCAATTGTAATATTATTTTATCAGTTACATTATATATTTGTTTGTATTGTGTATGTTTATGGAGTTGAGTAACAGCTGTTTGTTGTTGTCAGTCTCACCGGTGGTACGACCGGAAGCGTACAGGGACAGCACAGCCTGGATGGCCACATACATGGCTGGGACGTTGAAGGTCTCAAACATGATCTGGGTCATCTTCTCTCTGTTAGCCTTGGGGTTCAGGGGGGCTTCAGTGAGCAGGGTGGGGTGCTCCTCGGGTGCCACTCTCAGCTCATTGTAGAAGGTGTGATGCCAGATCTTCTCCATATCATCCCAGTTAGTGATGATACCGTGCTCGATGGGGTACTTCAGAGTCAGGATACCTCTCTTGCTCTGTGCCTCGTCGCCGACGTAGGAGTCCTTCTGACCCATACCGACCATGACACCCTAAGGGGGAGGAGAGGGCAAGATGATGGAAAGGTTACTTCAAATAATACAAACAGAGACATGACCTTCTTATGGCCAGATTAAAGTATTTACTGTGTGATGCAAAAGGCACGTTGGCCATTGCGTAAATGTGCCAAATAACAGCGTGGGTCAGAGAGACAGACACAGAGCAATTGTTTGACTGTCAGTTATTCTGTGACTAATTTAGTCTCAAAGTGTCAAAGGCCACATTGCTGGTGGTACAGCTGGTGGTATGAGCCACATTTACATGACTCAAGATACATAATGCCACGCTCTAAATTATAACTCAGAAATATGATAATTTCTGGCAAATAGTTGTTATTTAATCCAGTAGGAATTATTTGCCGAAATAGTGCCTGAAAGAAAGGCTAACTTGTTTTTATTTATTATATTAGTATTAACCGAATTATTTTAACTTTTTACTACGGATTATTTTTACTTATTCTCCTATTATTGCTTGGGATATCCCCGGCTCTTTACCTGGTGACGGGGGCGGCCAACGATGGAGGGGAAGACGGCCCTGGGGGCATCATCTCCGGCGAAGCCAGCCTTCACAAGGCCGGAGCCGTTGTCGCACACAAGGGCGGTTGTTTCTTCGTCGTCACACATGTTGGCTGCTGTAAGAGGAGAGGGGGAAAAACAGTTGAGCTCACTCAATCAAATCCACATGGCAAAATTTACTATGTGACAGTAATAACCCCAAAACGAACTCCTTGGTTCACTCTTTTGTTTCCTGCAAGTTTAGGCCAGATGTAATTATAAAGGCTATATTTTTTTACTGGAGAAAGATATTTTACTGGAAAGTAATTGGAACAGACACTAGCATGAACATGATCAGGCCCATGCTTTGCGCTAAATGTGTCAATGGCACACTGACACCAGGCCATTACGCATGGTGCTTACGCCCACATAAATCTAGAAAATCACATTAAAGTGATACAGAACTACACTGCTGTTTTCCTTCAGTCATGCATCTTAATTTGATAAGTATCTCTCTACTACGCATCTATTTATCCTCTGTATCTATTGTATTCCAAATTTGCTGTAAGCTAAAAAGAATCACATTTGTGCTGAAATTCAGATTAATTTACAAACATTCTCACTGTTTAATTATCACCTGTGCCAGGTAAAATATATTCTATTAATTTAATTAATATAAAGGCACATTGTGTCTTGCTGCATCAGCACATTTTTGTGTTACACTTATAAAGATGCTGACATCAATAATTATTTATCTTTTCAATTAATCTATCAATTTCCAGACCTAATACAGCTTCTCCTATCCAGCAGTGTCTTTCTATGAAAGTTTTCAGCCTTACAACTATTTAAAATTATTTGTTTCCCTTCTCCTTCAGCATCAAGTCTGTCCTACAGTGGAGTTGCCCAAATTCCTGCAGTAGTATCTAGTCCTGGGCGTCCTAACTCCTGCTCCAGTAGATGCTCCAGTATTAAGT